GTTGGGAATATCATTTTGTTTTTTAGGTGGTTCAGATCTGTGAATGTATGCATGTTTTATTATACACACTACTACTGTATAGCACATATATTATCTAACAAACAAGTTAGATATTTGCATTCAAATTTATACTTCAGATGTCTGTGTCTGTGCTGGAAAATATGACCTTCCTCACTCATTCATCATCATCAATTCACTTTACAGGAAACAACATCCATTCACTCTGCACATATGTATCAAAAAGAAAATCAAAAATGGGGAAGACGTAGAACATCTCTCATTATTTCCAACATGATGCTTCCCCTGCCCTCTTTGCACGATCTCCCGTCATCAATACAGGATGGAAAAGAAAGGCCTGACAGATACATATCGTGCAACTTTGATTCGTCCTATCGATGACTTGGCTCCTGTTCTTCTTCGCTTTCTCTCTCTTCCCCTGATTATCTCCCACGCGCGCACACGAGAAGAATGACCCGGGGATCGAACATAGTCGAACATAGAAGGAATAAAATCCCATCAAGAAGCATCTTGAACATATCCACTCAACCCCTCTAGAGAAAACAACTGACATATGGGGTATTGTTATTCATAAACCTTCTATTTCGACTTGAATTGAAAAGGCATGTCATTACGTCATCTTGAGACCACAGACGGTGTAAGGTTATTCAGAAGCGACGGAAATGGTTTTTTTTTGCTTCCATTCCCCAATTTCAGAACCAGCGTCATGTTTCCGATGCAGCTGTTGGCTGGCTGGACTGGATAGGTAGGAGTGCTCCTTTTGCATGGCAATAATATGTTCAAGGTGCTGCGCAGTGTTGAGACTCCGAGGAGAAGACTGCATAAAAATGATTCTCTATCGTTGATACAACAAAATAAATAAATAACAAAATTAGCAATGAAAATTTACAACAATGGGGGATAGAATCCTGATGGATACTCAAGCTCATGGAATTTTTTCTTTATTTTGTTTTTATGGATTATAAAAGCCATCCATCCATCCTTTTTTCAAAACAATCTCATTTGAAGCGATGTTGTGCTCAATTCTGCTCGCGTCCCGAATCTTCCGATCTTCCCGTTTCTGCCAGAACAATGGGAAAGAAAGGAAAATGTGGACGGGATAGCGGAACGACGACTGTCCGGCAACCGATGCCGGATATGACAGTTTTCATACCCTCCGACTGGCTTTCCACTTTCTTATTATTGCCGGGTCAGCAGAATAAGAATAACAATAATTGCGAGACAAGTGTTAAGGTTGCTAATCTCCGTTGGTTTTTTTTATATCCGAATCCGAGGTTTTTCGTGCAAAATTTCGAATCACCTGGAAATTATGAGTACCGGATTATTGTCATAATTGTTATTCCCATTTTTATTCCCTCGGAAACATCAGCGTCTGAGGAAGAATTTTCAGAATAGAATGATAGCGAGATGGATGCGAGAAATTCTGCCCCAGGTTTGATTCAGCCGTATTAAATTATTTAGCCTCTGTCCCCTCTTCTCAGGCAGCAGCATAAACACATCTCCTTTTCGCAACACCGATCCCTGCACAACGTAGACAACAATCTTGTACACTCCACATGCTTTTCCTGTGACATGACGGGTGCAAGACTGGTCAACTGATGCAGTTATCTGTTAGCAGTTGATACCTCTGCTGAAACAAGTATCATTGATGCACAAACACCTGTCCTTCCAGCTCCCAAGCGACCCGGAGCAAGAATCCACCCGAGGCCGGTGCCGAGAAGACCAGATCAGATAAGATAATGGTCTCATCACGCCCTCAATCAGTCCAGCGAGCTCAAGGATTGCTGGAGCTTCCCGCCGCAGTTGTGTTGTAAACTTGTGGTGAGCTCTTCGCTTTCACGTTTCGCATCCCAAGCTTCTAGCTGGGCTCCAGTAAGTGAGCTGAAAATGCGGGCAGAACGCGAGATCCACAAGGCAATCGCCATCACGCCGTGTGACCAGGGAGAAAAAAAAAAGAAAAAAAAACACTTGGCCAGATAGGAATATGCTACCACAGAGAAGCGTAAATATAAAGTATAAATAACATTAAGTCGATCACTCTCACAAAACCAAAGACATCTGCTACTATTCCTAATGTCTTGCCCTGTCTAGATGGTTTTTTCTACCGCTTTCTGACTCAGAAATCGGCGCTAAAGGTGTAACTTATATAGCTAGGAGATGGGTGCTTTTCACAGCCCAGTCCTACCCATGTTGGAGCGTTTGTTTTATTAAAAAGAATTTCTTGGAGCTGAAGGGGATGAATGACGATGAATCAGTAATGCGCGATGCAAACGGCCCCTGGATTTTCACGAGAAGGGTTTAACCATTGAACGGAGAGATATTTAGTTATTCAGCATTGCCTCTTCAATAAGTAGTTATGGATCAGGCAAAAAAGTCGCATGGTATAGTTAGGTGCTTCAGGGGCTCAAGGGCTCAAGGGCCCTAACACTAACACGCAGCTGAAAATCCTGCAGAGTCGATGACAAGTTGTTGAGATTATTTTCTGCTAATTTTCTGCCACTCTGCTCTGAAAGTCTAGACTCCAACTCAACCTCTCTTTGGTGAGGTGGGGTCCGCAAGGGGAGGAGGCAAAATGGAACCCACAACACAGGAGTTGGGCGGATTCGGCTTGGGCGTTGTTGTGTTGAATACAATACATGACCAAGCCAGGAACTTGAAAGGAAAAAATCGCGGTGGGTTTGAGTCGGTGCAGTGACTCATGAGCGAGGGTTGGGGGTAATCTGCGGATGATGGATGAAAGAGAAGGTGAGACAAGGAAATAATTACGGGTTGAGATCATGAAAAGATATTTCCTGTTGAAGGAGAAGGGGTGTTCCCCGAGTTTTCGCCTTTTGATTCAAGAGGAGAGAAAAGAGAAAAAGGGAAAAAATCCAAGATTCTTGATAGAAAATAAAGCTATGCGTCTGACAAAAAGAGAGAAGAGAATGGCAGAGAGACCTTTCATCCCCTCATTAATATTGTTTAACAACAGCATGGAAGCTGCCCAACCATAATAACACCCGCACTTCTGAAACATGGTGGGAAATCCTTCACTCTTCTCAATCATGAAACCTGTTTTGCTTTACCATTTCATTTATGCATGCGGCATTCTGTGAACATTTGCAAGCAATACACTTCACTGGCAGGCATGCCCCTCTTGTTCCTCCCACGATTTTACTTTTGATTTACATCCATACATTAACTTACATTATACAAGAGATGAAAAATTGCTACTGTTCTCTGCTATTGAATTGTTGAATGCAGCAAAATATGTTAGCTAACAACTCTTTACCTTTGAAAACACAAAAGTTGGTGCCTGGAACCAGAAGGTATGCGGAATACCGGCGCATGATTGGCGGGTTTCGAAAGGATTTCCCGAGGTGTCATTCATGGTCGAGTGGCCGTGGTTGATTGGCTGCCAGTCGAGTCGGCAACACAATAAATAGGCTAGCGAGCTGGAATAAACACCTTGGATGAAACATACATCGCTAATTATTATTTTGATGTTGAAAATCCATTAATCTTCCCTTGGGGCAATTTTTATTGCTATGAAGTAGCCCATCTCATTTCCCCTGAATTTGTGTGTTTTCAGCCTCAGTGAAGGGTGTACGTGTCCAGCAATGCGCTGTACCAATCACAAGTTAGCTTCGGAGGTTCTTGAAGAAGAGGCTGAAAATATTCAAAATCGGAAATCCTTCTTCTATGTATGTACTCCGTAATGATCTTTGATTTGACATAGTCTCTATATTACAGTACTGTTCAGAAGCTAATGGTTTTGTGAAATCCTCTCATAGCTAGTACTTGTATACCACCTGATTCCATTGGTGTGCAACTTCGCCGGAGATGCTGTACGCATTCTTATTCTCGTAGTTGTTTGTTCATAGACCATCTGGGTTGAACGCATCTCTTCCTGACTTGAAGGGAGGGAGGTACAGCAGTTTATTTCCATTGATACCACCACATCTCTTGATTCAGATCCAGAAATCCAATATCAAAAAGTTATTAAAGTAAATGAACTAATATTCATCAGAAATGAAAGTATGATAGCATTGATATCTGTTAGAATAAACGGATGATTAACATTTCAAAGTTTAACCACTGCCCATCCTTGAAAGTGAGATTCTTCAAAAGGCAACTTGCCACAGCTGACTGCTAACTTACTCAACACACCACTATTCTTAGGATTTTTCACCGCTTAATCTAGCGAGGGCCCTTTCGAGATCGAAGGAATGATCCATTGCGATGGCGGTGTGACAGATCTCTTTATGAGTACGCAGTAACTAGGTTGGGAGGTTACCCTGCTCGCGAATACGACTCTTCTTCTAAGTTTGAACCAAACCTACGCTATAGGGCTGGATATTTATTTCCTGAGTAGGAAATAGGTGTGGGCTGGGCAGCTTTCAAGGTTCCGAGAAAGGCAATAAATAATGCAAGGGCCACGTTTTTCTTCCTCCTCCTCCTCCCCCCCCCCCCAAAAAAAAAGAGAGAGAGAGAGAAGAGGGCAAAGCTTTCTGCCACGTGGAAAAAAGCCCCCATTCTGAAGAAATTTTAGGCAGCGGAATTTTTTCGTGTTTGTAATTTTTGTCCCACTCAAAACAACCCTCGGAGGAAGTATACAACATGTTTTATGTTTTATTGTTGTATTATTCCACGTTCAAGAATAGAGAAAATCATGGCCTGGAGGCTAGCGATTCCACTCTCTCTCGCTGATGCGCGGAAGCTCAGTTCCGCCCGTTGTGAATATTCCAGTCATTGTTACACAACAAACTAGTTCCTGTTCTCTCAATTGATGCCTCATTTTTTTGCCATGTGCGGAAATGATTCAACGCAATTCATTGCATTTCTGAGTCCTCCTACTCATATACATACTATAGATATGTATACATACTCATTTGATGCTGTAAGGTAATCAAACACCTGGAGAAGCATCAAACCTTTAACCCAACAAGAGCCATTCAGAGAAAGAAAAGTAATGATAATAATAATAATAATAATAATAATGGTAAAAATAACATAAAATAATTGGCATTGTCTATTCAGGTCAGTCCATCAGTTCATGTTCATTCCGTTCGCTTTGCTGTCCTCGCTTCAACACCTGATCTTCTTGCAAGATACCTAATGATTCCTGTTCCGCGGCCCACGTTCTTCGGTGGCTGAGTAACGTTAACCCCGAACTCACCTCAAATTTTCTCACAGCCGCCCGGGGGTCCGTTTCGAAAACGAAAAAATAAAAGGTTTTAAACAGTTTGAGGAATCGGGTCTGCATTCGCGAAACCCTTTTTTGTATGTTTTTCGTTGCCGCCCCCCGTCTTATAGCTGTGTTTTGAATGCATATATACATATCTGTGTGTGCTATTGATAGAAACAGGAGAATGATCTTGGATAGACCCTGCACAGCATTTTCTTCCATAACCAGGGTGGGTGTGTTTCGACTCGCCGAATAATTTATCCATCCATCAAATCAATTGAGGAATTGAGTAGTCGATTCCTGATGTTTTTAGCGTCTCCTTATAACAACGTTCAAGGTACAATATAGCATCTATATCCTTAACAATTTTTCCCTCTTGGAAGGGAGAAGAAGATTGTTCGGTCGTTGACTGCCGAACGAGGGATAAGTGGATGACGTTAAGCAAGTTGAGTTAGGCGGGGAGATTGCGCCTGCATAGATTACTCAATTATGCAGCAAGGTTATTAACTAAGTTATGTCATTTTGCTGTCAATTCATCCGCGAAGTGATCTCTGAGATGGGGGGGGGGGTTTGTTTTCATATACGCGCTTGAACAGGGGTTTTAAGAAAATCAATGATTAAGGAATGTAGAGAAGGCGGTCGATGTGCGAAGATGTTGGTAGATTCTTCTAGGTCATAGTATTACTTGTTATTCTTCCCATCCCCTCCTAGGATTTAAGGCGCAAAAAAAAGATAGCATTTTTTACCAGGTGGGGGGTGCATAACTCCATAACTCCACTCCGGCGATCACGGGAAGGGAAAGGGTTAGCAATGTGATTCTTGCTACAGATTCTCTTTTTTGATCTCGAGAGATTGAATGAAATATGAAATGAAGCACTGATGTTTAGAGAAGAGCGGGGTCGTTTACTTTTATTTTAGTGATGATAATTAATTGGAAGAAAAATGAGCATGTTTCGCGTGCATGGGTTGGTTTTTGCGTCCTTGTTGATTATTCATCATGAGAACACACGCTGTATGGTTATCTCCGTCACAGCCTCACAGGGCGAAATGGAATATGTCATCACTTTCGCTGAATAATAATGGCCATCTTATTCATAAGCGGAGTTATTTGAACAGTCAACAATAACGAGGGGAAATCATTAAGCAGTAATCACGCAATTGAAGTGTGAAGTCGCAGTAATGGGATTACTCAGTTCTTGACAGATCAACTATTCGGGCAACCAAGGGATGGGGAGAGGAGATAGAAGTCCGTGGTTGTTGAATCGAACCGAAGTTCGAACCGCAAAATTTGCATAAGTCGTAGTAGGCGTCGTCCTGGCAGGTTATGGGCGACTTTGACATGCGTTGTGCGGAGTAGTTACATGCGGGTGAATAAGAGTCGGAAAAGTAAACAGTGCGAATACGCTTGAAATTAGAATTTAATACAGAGAGTAACGTACACTACACTACACTGGTAGTTATTATTATTCCGCAAGGTGCCCGGTGACAAGTCATATCGCAGGCGGGTTCCAGGCCTTGGCAAGTACCGAACATGTTACGGCCGTTCGGCTCGGAGTACATGGAGTAGTTACGCGTAACTTAATTCCTGTCCAGGTAACCGGTAGTTATTAGTATGGATTGAAACAGGGCCTCGTGGGGTGGCTGATATACGCGGACAGTCGATGATTCGCATACCATACCTACCCGGAGTCTCTTTTGACAGGCAGACAGATAATAATAATAATAATAATAATAATCCATCAGATCATTACTGCGGACACCGGAGCACCGCCAACGAGGCCTCAGCCCTGGCCACGGCAGCAGCGGATTCCAGTGGCTGACACAGCGAGCTCCCGTGGATGGGATCCATGTCAAGCCAAGCATACTCGGGTTTAGAGTTATTATATTTTATTGCTTGAGTAAAAAACGCTAGAGACAGATACCCAGGCAACATTATTAGTAACAGATGGATTACACAGCCAAATACGGCCGTTAATGAGTAATCCAAGGCATGTGCATGTTTTTCTCCGGCAGCCGGTGTTTACGCAGCATTAATGCCGTACGTACGGACAACTAACTAGCTCTGAAGATGATTCCAAGCGCTCAGACTCTCAGGCAACCATCTGCATAAAGATAGCCGATTCTCCCTGTTTTGTTGATTGTTTGTTTGGTTTTCGCTTCCAAAGAAACCTGCTTCATATCATTTCATTTGAATCAATTACCAGAGTTGGGGTTGGTCCATTAATTATTATTTTATTATATCCCCCTGCTTTCCCCTTCTCCACGAGAACAACAACAAAAGATAAAAAACAAGAATAATCATCACAATACCATACCACTCGCCGCGACGCAGCCAACCCACCCACCTACCTCGCACCGCACTTTCTCACCGCCTTGGCTCTAATTGGACAATCGGCATTGAGCCTGGCCAGACCCAGACTTCCAAGGTTCGGCAGACTTTTTTGCACGCAACCACTGAGTCATCGCAGCCAACCCTTCAAAAGTGAAGCAAATCCCAACCAACAGCTGGTGCTGCCGCTGCCATCACCACCACATTCCTATCACACACACACAACAAGCCAATTCTCTGCCGCTAGAATTCGCCATGTCAACTCTGTCCTCCCCTTTTCCCTCCTCTCCCGCCGCCTCTCTCTTCTCTCCTTTCTCAATACATCCACCTCCAGCAAAGAAGCAACGAAAAATGAGCCTCACCCAGACATACTTCCTCGCCCACACCGCCAGAGCTAAGCTTTCCAGAGAAGCTTCTCGGCCAGACCACGACCTGCGAATCCTCGTAGGCCATGCCAACATGCTTGATTCTCTCATGCTCGAGCTCGCAGACGCAGAAAGGGAACAAGAGAAATGGTTTAATCGCTCTGTTCAAGGTGCTACGGAAAGGCTATCACAGGAGGAGCTGCAACAGCAACGCAGACACATCAAATGGGCTGATGCACTAGTGGAGGAGCCTGAGGACGACTGGGACCCAGAAGACCTATCTTCTGATTCTGATTCAGATAGCGACGACTCAGATGGCTACGATGAAGAAGACATTTTCTCTTCCTCCTTACTCTCCCGATCCTATCAACAGCCTCAACAGCAACAGCTACAAATGGAGTTACGAATCCCCTCAACCCCGTTAATCACAACCCGGGAAATACTACGATACGCAGACGAAGAAGAAGCTATAGAGGAAGACGACGAAGGAGACTCTGACGAACTCGCTCTTACACGAACACACTCCCGCTCCCAACAACAACCGCCCGAACTCCTCGATGATTCCGACTACTCTTCGTCAGAAGACGAATCGGTGCCCAGCACACCTCCACAGCCCACACTCGACTCCTTTAGCGAGAAGGCAGCCGTGGTCACAACCGAGCTATACGCTACAGAAAAACAATCAGAGCCGCCGAAGTTCGCTACTCTATCGTCGTCACCAGCATCAGAACAAACGGCAGCGCTTTTCGAGGACGGGTTTTTCCTCCCTCACCAGCAAGAGGGTCGGACTATGATTGAAGCTTTCTAAATTAATCTAGAATCTCCTCCATAGCCATGAATACTTGAATATCGGCCTTACGACTTTACGATTCTCCTTCTGACTGATTTCCGATTCTGATTCTGAGCGACGTCTTTTTTGATTTTGCCTTTTTCTTAGAGCATTTGCATCAACCGCCATATCTTTTCTTTTGTAAACACGTCGAGCAAGCCGACGACGATGAAATGAGACTTTGGACGGGTTTTGGGTTTTTTCCTTATATCAAAAAGTTCTTTGTTCTCCCGATATACTATCAGTTACCCCTCTTGGCGGCGTTTCAACATCTCCTTTTTATCTAACACAACACCACATCCCCTTTGTCCTCCCACCCTTCTCGCCGTTTCTCATCAGCCAGTGCTTCAACCATAAAACGCATAACCAAACCACCCACTCTCCTCTTCCGCTTCGCTACACTACACTACAAATTTCCGCAAAGACACACATTACATCTATTTTCCACACCTCCTTTTCAAAGCATTAAAGCCAAAACCAACAGATTCTCCCGTCCATTTCACATTCCCATTCCACTCCACCACGTCTCCCTTCCCCTTCTTTCCCGCTCTCTCGTTTTTCCCCTGTGTGTTTCCCCGCGCTCTCCATCCCACCGTATAAATCCGGTCGATGGTCGAAAGGAGGCGGAGAGAAACGGGCGGGGGTTTCAAAGAGATCGGATTTGAGATTGGCCTCGGACCGTGGTTTGGATATTTGGAATTTGGAATTAGGAATTAGGACTGGTTGAGAGCTGGGTTTTCTGACCTTTTTATATATTTCTTCAACATATACATTGATATCTTATATATAGCTATATATTTGAAAAAAAAAAAAAAAAAAATCTACAATTTTGGATAATTGATTTAGTTTTCTCGATCACACTCTTTATCTAAATAAGTGAAATATTTTACCAGATGAGTACGAAATTACCCAAACGATGTGTTTTTCACCACTTACGTCTAAGGATCTTTTCCAACAATTTTTTCTTTCGCAAATTCCAATCTACCCAGACAAGGTCGCCACCAAGCTTCGGCCTCGGTACTCCCGGTTCTAGGCGGGAAGATCCTGCTCTAACAATTCCCGCCCCGCCCCGGGTCTGTAGGGTGGGATCCACCCTGGTACATGTACAGTGTACAGTAAGAACAACGAGATAGATCATAAAGGACGGGACGAGAGGAGACTCAGGAGAGGAGGTGAAGAATTTGCCCGAAACCGAACAAATCCCCCTCCCCTCTCCTGGGGCAAAGTTCAAAGCGCCTTCAGCCAAAATCGCTCAATTGTGAAAGTGAAATGGGATGAGATAGCAGGAGAGTCAAGTCAAACCTAGAAAGGAGAAAGAAAAAGAATAAAGAATGGGATGGGGTTGGACAGTGTTATCGATAAGAGGTAGAATATAAGTCTCGTTCAGGTGTAATATCTATGTAGTGCATACAATAATAGCTACTCAGGTGGCCTGCGCCCAATTAATTAATATTATTAATTATTTTATTAGTTAGGTACAAGAAAGTTCTCCCACCGGCTGTCATATCAGGCGGGGCCTTTCTTTTTTCTTTTTCAGTTTGATTTGCTTGGGAACCATTCTAGACCGCCTGTCTGACTGCCTGCCTGACTGGCCTGCCTGCCTGCCTATATTCAAATTGCTACACTTCTACAGAGCGAGTAACTTAGGTACTTTCTTGTCAACTTTATGATCCGCTGGTCGCCGAGATATCTCCGCTTCACCACATCGGGCGGATACAAGTACATGTACATGTACATATATTGCAGGGAGCTCATAAAGAGAAGAAAAAAATTATTTTGGAAGTTGCTGCCAGCATTATTTACTACATGTAGGCAACACAGGTGCGGCTCATGTCTGCATTCTTCTTCTCATAACCACGTCCCGCTTATTCTCTCATTTTTACTCGCGGGTTGGTTCTGAGAGGCGGTGTGTGTCTGTGTGTGTCTGTGTGTGTCTGTGTGATTGTGTCAGGGTGTCTTAAGGGTGTTCAGGAGTGGTCTTTCGGGCAGGGGATCCCTTTATTAATGTTGTTCTGGCATCTGCAGGGTTGGCGGCTGACTAAAGACGGGTAAAGGTACGGAGTAGACACACGTAGCTTGGCATCTTGGCAAACCTAGGCCCTGTCCTGGGGGGGAAGAAAACCCCAGGTCTTGGCAGGTGTGGCTGGCCGTTTGTTTGTCTCCCCCCCCCGGCTACGCTACTTGTTGCTGCAGGCTTTGGGGGTTGGTTCAGCCTCAACATTCAACTTCCATCCATCTTCTATCGTCTATCGTCTATCGTCTATCTTCGCTTGTTTTTTTTTTATCTTGCCCTCCCCTTCCACCTTCACCTCCATCAAACCCATCCATTTTGCACTAGTGCCAGTTGGACAGCTCACGATGCTTTCGTGTTGATCCCCTCCTCCAACCTCCCTGAAGAGAGCTGATACGTCTCGGTTTCTGCTTCGCTCTCTATTATTCATTCTTCCTCCTCCTCGCCCTTGCCTATCAGCTTTTTATTTTTTTATGTTTTATTTGTTTTTAAGTTGTCCCTTTAGTACAATCTGCCTGCCACACAGTACATTAAATATATATCCCCACCGGTCATCACTCTGAACAATGACAGCCTGTGCCTCAATCATCCTGCTCCAAGTCTTAAAGGAGCTTCATGGTGCCTGACACACCCAAACTGTCTTGTGCGCCCTAATCTTGATTTTCCCACCCTCTGACCTTTTGTCCAAATCCGAGGTTTGCCGCCAATCCTGTAGTCATACCATACCTGCAAGACTCAGACGCTCAGACGCGGAAACTATTATCCTGAGCGGTGAGTTATCCATATACAATCACCACCCCTTTTCGAGTTTCTTGCCTCTCTCTATGCTCCGGATGTGTTTACGCAGCTAGACTTACTAGCAGTTGACAAGGGGGATTCTGGATTGTGCTTGGGAATAATCCGTTTGGGTCACTTTGCACTCTGGAGGCCCTGTTAAGCTGACATTTTTTTCTCTCAGACTTTTATATCCATACTCGTCTTAACCCCCCAATCAAGTATTGGCCACCGGAATTATTTCTGCGCGAAAGATAAAAAAAAAATCCCCATCTCTTCTGATGGTGGATATCTCTTATCGGAGAAGAAACCAAAAGAAGCATTTCGACTGGGTTAGGCTGTAGGATTTGGGATTTCTTTTGTTCACCCGTTTTCCCGTTTCTATCCATATATATATATATCATTACTAAACGCCCCGATTTACACCTTTCTGTGGCTATATCTATCCCATTGACAGGGCATTGAAAAACCGTTTCTCAGGAGTTTGGTACCTATATTCAAATGTCCGAGTCGACGCCTACAAAAAACATTTGGCCTGACACTAGTTCGTCCGCTTTGGGATCAGATGGTACCGCACCATCCCACATAGATGATGCGAGTGTCTCTACTTTAGGTGGCTCAACTGCCATGCCGACCGACGTTTCACCACGGCGGCCATCGGTCCAGTTCAATGTCGAGACCTCTGCGGCTCAAATATCGAAAAAACGGACCGATGGCACAAGGGGAACTTTGAACAGCCGCAGCATCGGCAGATTTCCATCTCCTCCCCCACCAAGGTTAGTTTTCGTCCATTCGTCACTTCAGCGTCTGTTCGTAGTTCGTCACAAAGGAATCGTTCCATTTTCCCCGCGTAAATGACGTTTTGATTTCTCCTCGTGGCTTGGCGGTGTGGCTGGAAGAGAGTTTTTGTGATTATTCATCCCACCAATTCGCATACTTTGCACCTTGCCCCTGCGCACTGCGCCTCGGCGTCTGTGGTTTGCCTCCAAGGAGTCCAGGGTCATCCAGTCATAAACCCCAGAAGCAGCTGCAGAGTACAACCAGTGCGACGGTCCATTCACCATTTACAAGCACCAAATAATATTTGCAATATGAATGCATCCCACTCTGACAGCCATGATGAATATCATCCTGATACTACGCTAACACCTTCTCACGATGCCAGTGCTTATAATCGCGGGGTTTCGTTCGACACATTTGACAACCGTGACGCCACCGATTTCTCATTAACGCTCAACTACAAACACAGAGACTACCACCCCACGCGGCGCAGTCGGACATTCCTCTGTGGCACTGATCAGAATGATTATTCCGATTTCGCACTTGAATGGTTAATTGACGAACTCGTTGACGATGGCGATGAAATCGTCTGTTTAAGAGTTGTTGAGAAAGATTCGAAGGTCGCCAGTGACGCAAGCGTGGAAGAAAGAAGATACAGGCAAGAGGCCCAAAAACTGCTTGATCAAGTCATTGCGAAAAATTCGGATGAGAAAGCGATCAGTTTGGTACTGGAATATGCTGCGGGAAAAGTGCAGGAGATTATACAACGAATGGTATGTGGTCGCTTTGTATTTTCCAACTGGTCCTTTTTCTAACCCGACACTATATTTAAGATCCAAATCTACGAACCTGCGGTGCTCATTGTCGGAACTCGCGGACGCAGCCTGGGTGGAATGCAAGGCCTTCTTCCGGGCTCAGTGTCTAAATATTGTCTCCAACAATCGCCCATCCCCGTTATTGTCGTCCGCCCCTCAACAAAGCGCGAGAAAAAGAAACAGAAACGTCTTGCAAATCCGACGCGGCAAAGGTACAACCATGTCCTTCGATTGAATGATATGAAGAGCGGCCGATTATTTGACAAGTCACGAAGCACTGATAGCATTGTCACAAAGTTACCAGAAGAGGAAGCCGCGGTTGCTCACGCTATAGGGGTGCAGGATATAGGAGGAGGTCCCGCGGGCGCTCATACAGGCCGCGGCCCACGGCTATCCTTTTCCAGAGACACCGCATTTAGGACAATTACAGACGACAATGATTATGACATGGACGGGGATAGACGCAGCTCGAGCATTCCTAACTCAGAGTCAACTGCATCCGGCTTGTCGTCCGCCTTGAGGAATCAACGTATCGAAAGCCCGGCTATGACGGACGACGAAGGTGACGAAGACGAGAGAGATACTGGTGGTGATGATAATGATGACAACGAACCTCGCGAACGGGCACATGTCTCGAGCGCTCCTAATGGTAGGCGCCAGCGCAGTTCAGAGGATGCGACAACGACCTCAACACCTCCCAAAAAACCCCCCCTCGTACCCATTACCAATGTAACAGTTACAGAATATACGCCCAATGTTGATGAGCCTCACTGATGGGAACTAATAAACATGTCTGCGGCCACCACGGATGCACGGGAGTGGCAGATATTTTGCTTCGTTCTTAACCTTTAGTTTCGGTTTTTTATTTTTTGCCTACGTTGTCGTAACCAACGTCTTATATAGGTATTTTTCTGGCGTATCTAATCTTTTAAATAATGATCCCTGCTCAACAGCCAGGTTTCAACCTACGTGACGCGCAGGGGATGTATACATGTGTGCTTGTTTTGCAGTCTTGATATGATACCTCGATGATAAAAACTCCACGCTTGTGTAGTCTATTTCTCCCACATACCTATCTAGGGGATCGCGATGTTTCGCTAGGTTCTCCAAGTATATGGACTGTGGGAGCCCTAGGCTTCCTAGTACGGACTAGCGCCCCGCACCAAGCATATATCGCCCACTAGATAGCTATCAATACAACCACTCAGACGTCCAACAGGTTATGGCCTGGATTGCTTGTTTTTTTTTTTTTTTAAACCTTCCGCTACTACTACTTTTTCATTTATCTGAGGTATAAAATGTCTCACGAGCTGCATCGCTGAACTGCAGAAGGATCCTGACATAAGGTGACTGTTTGAAAGCCTTGATCGCGGGGAAAAGGAGTGGCATCTCCTATATCAACTGCTGGATCCTGATGAGAAGCCAGGGGAGCTTCGATCGCGGGGAAAACAGAATCCTGATGAGAGGTCAAGGATGCTTTGATCGCGAAAAAAAAAAAGGATTCTGACAAAAAGCAACTGTTTTGAAAGCTTTGATCACAGGAAAAGATTGATTCAAGGGGGTAAACAAATGCCTCCAAGAATGCGAGCTACTGCAGGATTGTTGGATACACCTGCAAGCAACATGGATATGAATGAAGAATATGAGCAAGATACACCTACAAGCGACGCGGATATGAATGAAAACAATGAATACCCTGGGCCTAGGGGTGAACCAGGTCAAATGAATGAATACACCTTGATGATGAGAATGATGGCATACATGGAGAAACAGGACAGATTGATGGAAATACTCATACAAAAACTAGGTGGAGACTCCGATTCTTTGTCAATATGGAATCAAATGGATATCTTTGAACAGAGGGATGATTTGATGGATCAACTGGCTACGCGTGCCACTGCCACTCCTACAACTACTACACCTACCACTGCCATTGCTCCTAGCCATCCTCCATTCACTGTGAGAACCACTGTGAGAACCATTGCAAGAATAACTGCAAGAACTGTCATGGGAACCACCGCGAGAACCACCATGAGAATCACTACAAGAGCCACCGCAAGAATCACTCATCCACACTACTACTACAAGCTGAGACCTCACAACCGCCGAAAGGGGGAGGGATAAATGAATATGATGGATACAACAAATACAGACGAATACAAATGAATACAATGAATGTGATGGATTTGAAGGATTTGAGCACTACTGTGCGGTAATTTCGTGTTAATTTGGCTGCCACCGACACTACTACTACCAGGGGGCGGTTTGGTGGTGTGTGAGTGATTGTCCATACATATATATGTAAGGTACATACATAAAACTGCAGCATATAGCTATCTATGTAGCTGGAAACGTTTGTTTTTTTTCCTTCCCTCCCCCTTCGACGATCCCTCTTCCCCGTCACACCCGCCGTACTTATCAGCATGGGGATTCCACGAATATAGTAAATCTATACCATAGCATGGAAAATACCCGCCTGCCCGCGCACGCCACGGCATCATGAGTGAGTAAAAGTTAAAATAAATTATTGGAAGAGAAATAATAATCGAGGATGGGGGGTGAAGGGGGGCACCTAACAGCATCAGTTGCAAACGATTTTGCCCCCCTTCTCCGCGGCTGCTACTCTCTCCTTTTTTTTTTTTTGAGATTGTCAATGGGAAGAAAAGGCTATAGTAGCCTCGGACATGTTAGCCTCGGATGATGTGTAACTGTTGAATGATCGTTTGGGCTCTCATGCCGTTCGCAGCCGTTGGGCCTATGAGCGTGAGGGCTTTGGATGAGGAGGGTGAAAGGTGAAAGGGTTTCGGGAAGAGCATAAAATATGATATTAGGCGGAGATTGAAACTGTAGGGCAATCTTTTTTAATAAAAAAATTGTTTTAGCAGACAAGGGACGGAAAGCTTATGTACTACTACTACTCATCATTGTTGTGGATTCCTTTTTTGTTTTTATTTTAAAAAATAAAAATAAAAATAAAAATAACAGTTTATAATAGTTTACTTTAACAAAGAAACTCTCATAGTAGCAAAAATAAAAATAAAAATAAAAATAAAAATAAAAATAAAAATAAAATAAAATTTACACTCCGTTTGTATGGAGGGATCCACTGTTTGATTTCTTCGGTAGGGCTGTAGAAAGATCGACTGGGATTTTGAATGAGGTCTTGATTTCTCCCTCTTCAGAGGTTTGTCTCCGAAATGGAGCACTCTCTGATATGATACTCTTCTCAAAATAGAAATTGCAGGCATTGCCTGTGCGTGAATGTTTCAATTGAGAGCTTTTAAGTTAGGTTAGAAATCCGCTGCAGAGTTAAAATTATTCCCAGTCATCGATGTTCCAGCACCTATCTCAGCAACATGTGAAGTAGGATAGACGTTTCTTACTCATCACGAATCATGCAGGCTGAGAAGGTTTAGTAACTACAATGCAAACCTCCTTTGCTAATCCAGAGTTCCCAATTTTTTTTATACTTTTTTCTATCTTTTTTCTAGCTTGGCCGATCTCTCGGTGACAGCGGAAGGCTTGTTGCTCTCTCTTGCTTTAGCGTGTGTTTCGTTTTATTTCCCTTGCTCGTTTCCCCATCCCCGTCGTAAATAATAATATATAAGCCCAAGATACCTAGGTACATACCGTACTCCGAGATACGATAGCCAACAAAGTCCTCGGGCGGCCAGCTAATAGCTAACGCTTTTGCTTGCGTGAAGCATCGCCAACAGCTGCAGAGAACAGTTAACCATCTCCATGACTGGCATTGATTGACTGCGAGTCACAGGCACACGGTAGACTCCCCCCCGGCCCCCGGTTCATGCGAAACAGAAGAGAAACGTCAATGAGAATGAAGCCTGAAGGAAGAAGAGTTCGGGGGCTTCGGCAGATCTCCACACATGTCCAACAACTGACCTTCTCCGGGGTGGATCCATAGGGAGGCCGCTCGGTTACGAAGGGTCCATCAGCCTAGCAAATAATCTCCAAAACGGAGCCAATCTAGCGGGTTAGGAACGAATCCTCTCTTCCTGATCACGAATGCTCTCCACCTCAAGTCATGCTCCATCACTTCGTTTTCTTGTTGGTGGGCTGAGAACAAATACGGCAATCACCAGCAGGGAAACTCTGCCCGGGAACCTGTACTTGAACTCAGCCTGGATACTCCGTACATGAATTTGCGTGTTAATGAGCTTGTTGCGCTAATATCCTGTCTCGTGGATAGAAGGAGTGAAAGGGATGCCATCAAAGGTCCGAGGAATCACTATTTCGACTGGATGATATTTTCAAGCGAGCTCCTCTTGCTTTTTGTCCTGATCGCCGGAGAATTAATTCTTGGATTTTATTTATTACGTTGAAAGAAGGTCACAAATACACTTTTTCTCCTTCTCTGTTGCCGTGCTACCTGTGTCACTTTCAGTACTGTCTATCTGACCTCTTGCTCTTCCTCCAATTGCCAATGAAAATGAAGTCTTTAGACTCCTACCCTTCTCATTAAGAGGCCCTCTCCTCTCCTCTCCTCTCATTCCATATATAACCCTCAACCCGTCCAGCCCCATCTAGCGAAGCTCTTGGAGAGCATGCCCTTCGTCCCGGGCACCACAGCCCTTGTCGCTATTGAAAATGCCAATGGCCGCATCCTCACCAATCGCACGGGCGCCATTGATTTCCCCAACCAGTTCATACTCACATGTCCCAGCAGCCCGCAACCGTTGCTCTACCAGCGCTTCCTCACCATGCTCAACGCTGGCGACCAGCTTGAAGTTAACTTCAGCCTCCGTGAACCTACCACGACAGAAGAACACGACCCGGCCGGCGAGCTGATAGGCCACACCTGGGCCATCCTCAAACCCTCTAGGGGTAGCGAAAAGCTCCTGTTCGAGGTCGGCAGGAAGACGGAACCCACCTCAGACGCCGAGGCCGCAAAGGCCTTCAACGGTTACAGAAAGCTGCTTGCCACGTTCCAATACGGTGTGCAAGGATCCTGTTCTAGCATGTTGGTATCGGCGGCAGGAGCAACATGGCCACCCATGGATATCCCCTTGCCACCACCGCCTCGACAGCCGATGTCAACCGCCGCGCCCATCCGGTCGATCTCTTGCGCTCTATCCCCATCCAATCTCTACTTTGCCACGGGGGTTATGTTTTATTTCGTCGATTTGTCCATGGCGGCGCCGTCGCGGCCGGAGTTTTACGAAACGCCGTTACATCTCTCGGAGCCGATGTAGGCGGTGGATGCGCTAGTTCTGTCAGCCAGCGCTTGCGACGTTGGCGATCAGTGCGCCGCCGCTTGTCTTCGCGGTGGTGCAGGCTAATTCCAGCTTGGGGACCACGCCAGAAATGTATGGGCGGGCTGCTTATGCAATAATTGGCGCCGGACTGTAGTCCGGAGGCGGGTAAGATTATTATTGTTGGGTGAGAGGATATCTTGAAGCTTTGTTGTTTGCAGTATGTTTGTGAGGGGGAATAAGCGGCTTTAGCATGAGAATGATGCCAGGGAGTCTTTTGTCTTTTCGTCTTCCTCAGGATCTTCAAATACACACTAGTGTGGACTGTATGGCATATTATTTTCTTTTGTTTATCAGCCTGCATTTTTGGGTTGTTAAAAAGGCTTTTTCAGCATTTGTGGTTTTAATAATATGTCCTTTTTCCTCTCCTGCCCGAAATTTTAAAGTCTCTGTACAAGATCATTTTCTTTGACGTTTTGTAACCATATCCATGGGTTGCCTTTATGAATCAGTGTTTCGTTGCCGCAGCTCCAGGGGGGAGAGGGGTGTTGGTTCCCCTGTAGGCTGTAGGATTTAAATACATGAACAAGGCTGGCTGACATGGGTAGCTCTGCAGTAAGCACTAGCCAAATGCATAAGTTATATAAATTGTAATATATTCCATGATGCCTGCTTTAGTTGAATCCGATGAAGTTGTTTCTGGATGGAAATATTCCGAAATGGGGAAGCTATCTAGTTCTCCGTAGGCTTTCTCCATACATACATAGTGCTGTTGATTCTTGAAATCTTTTTCGGACCAATCTACAGAGTAACCACAGTTCCACCCCTTCCGGCCAATCGTTAAGCTATGGCCTAACGGGGAGGTTGGTTGTCAGAGCTAGGAACCTACCCCTGCACTCATTCTTGGTTTGGAAAAAAACTCGAACGCATGAAGTTGAACATGCAGAGAATGAATGACATTCAAGCCGGCCTTCCCGCTGCGAACTTAAAAAAAGTCAATAAATTGCAATTCTATGAAAAAGGCGCGGTTATTTTTAGACACAAACATCTCTAACCCGAATAAGCAGGCTTCTAGACCCATGCATGGACCCGAACTTAAAATGTATCACGTGATATGTGTTTTCTATAGTGACTATTCCTAAATAAGCTAGCATTTTAAATAAGCTTCCCTCACATGATCGATCCACTCTCTTCATCTCGCAGCTCCAACTACACTTCTCATACGTCAACAGCTGCCGAATTATTTTACCACCACTGGGCTCATTGTATTTAATTTGCGAATATTCCCTATAAACCTTTCTTATGCATTACCAGGCCCTCTTTATTCATAGCGTTTTCAACGCAGGATTGACCTCTAGCGGTCAAACTCTAGCGATCATCACATCTATCAGCCGGCGCTCTTGCCCCCTGGGTGTTTGAAGATCTCGCAGACTATCTATAATCGATTGACTATTATAAACACTCTTTCTCTTGGTGGACTTGCTTGCTATATATCCCTGCCTAGCTGGGAGGTCCGCCTCCGCAGGAAGTGACAGCTTTGGATTTTGTGTTCATCTACTCAAAAATTCGGAGATAGGCTGCTTACTATCTATCTATATATACCTCTATACCGTCGCATGAAGTCGTTTTAAGTTTCAATCATAACGACATGGATACGCACATGGGCTTAGGTGGTAATGGCGCACCACCCAGCTCCTTGTCAGCACCTGTTCCCGCCGGGCCTGCTGCTATTGGTGTTGACAACAGTTCCAGTGGCCAGGAGAAGGGCGTTTTACTTTCGTCAAATGAGGATTGGGATTCAGAGAGCAAACTGGTAACAGCCTTGTCAATGTTACAACAGATGGAAGCAAAGGTCTGTGGGCATTTTCAATCGACGTACTATCACACGTCTTTCGGCGCAAATAGCCACGTGTGACTCAATGCTAACGTTCATGCAGATTCATGGGCTCCGAACTCTCGTCCCAAACCGCTTGCTTTCTCCATTGATTCCCATTGTTAATCCTGATATACGTACGCCAATCCCAAAGTCACCCCAAGAGATGTTTGAACAACTCTCACAAACTGCTCGTGATGGAGTAGCTGAAGTGGAAAATTTCAAATCTGAATGGCGGAGTCCAGACATGATGGCGATCTGGGATCGAATAGACCAGATATTAGCCGAAAGCGGAGGCGAGCATCCGCCCCTGACGGGGATGTGGGAGCGGGACTACGATGATATCTTAAAAACACTCAACAGGGAAGAGCAAGGAGAGAAAGAGCGCAAAAATCGGCTAGAAGAGGAGGAGGAAAAACGCCGAGTGGCGTCCAGTGAAAGTGGATGGAAAGATGTCGTTGAAGAGTACAAGAAGAAAGATATTCCAATAACCATTAATGTCCCACGGCCGGCTGATAATAATGGCCGCTTCTCCGTCGCGATCCAGAAACTTTCGCGACAGTTCTATGTCCTCCAGGGTCCGTCCTATGACAGCAAGAGCCCCAGAGAATGGCAGGTGATGATAGTGCCTCGAGGGAACACGTCCAAAATGGAGACGGAAATATTGGATTGCATCAGGTCTAGAGAGAGGAAATGGGACCTCCGCTATCTTCTGGTGAGTGTTTTTACGTCTTTATGATATGGATCTTAGTGAATAAGTGTTTGCCTGCCTAAATTTCCGTTGTATCCCCAACTGTATTGATCTACGCTAACAAAATTCCCATTCTCATTCAGGACATGCTCTGTTCCTATGCGGACGTTAAAAGGACAAGGTGTTTAAATTGCCACAAGCTAGCGAATATCAACGCCCAACTACCAACCGTCCGAAAACCAACTCAAATAGAGTCAGCCGACAATAAAACGACCTTCGCCTGGAATGCATACCATTCAGGTTGTCTCTGAGACCAAAATTCCGCTGGTATACCTTCACCATTTTCAGTGAATTGAATTCAACCGGTTTGAAGAAAATCATGGCCATGGTCATCCCAACCCAATGGGTACCAAGCCTCGTCCATCTACTCTCTCCCTCTGAACCATCCCACACACCTAGCAGCATCACCGAAGGTTCGCATCCGGCGCAGGCCTAATTTACGATATCCCATCCAACTCCACGTCGCCTGGCTCGGCTCGGTATCAAGGTTATTCCATTTCCTCCCTCATCTTGAAAAGCGTACCTTCTTGGCCGGAAGCCCCCTAAAACAAGATGATGGAAACGATAATTAATTCTCAGAACTTAATACCCCCACCCACATTGCCAATAGTCCTCTCCCTTGTTGCTTGAAACATATTCATCCGACCCGGGCCTATTCTCTTTTCCTCCATGCCATTTTCGTTTTGGTGGTGAAATGAACAACGATTTCCCTTAACTTATTCCACAAAAACAAAAGTATAGAAATGAATTTTTATTTTTTTTTATTTTTTATTTTTATTTTTTTTTCCGAGGAGGGAGGCTTCCCCGGATCCTTCGCTTCCCAATTAAGATTTTTAGGCTTGAACGAATTTGGTGCTTGGAATGACCATCATACTCCCCGCCCGCTATCTCCTGACATACATTATTTGCGCGTCTCCAAAAACAAAGATAAGCGGGGCAAATTTATTTCTGCATATTTCCCAATTCTGTGTGTTTAGAAAATTATGACAACTCTGTGCTTTACATTATGAACATTTATATATAGCCTGTCTATGAGCTATGAGATACTAATCATCATTCATCTTCTGTCCTTTTCGCTGCTAGTGTATGTTGCTTGAGAGTTTTTGGAAGTCTTTTGACTCGGATGGGAATGAATGTTATTAAAACAGGGAAGAAGTAAAAGAGGAGAGGGAGAAAATATCCCTGTGATCTATCTTGGAACATTTTCTTTTGCTTTTTTCTTTTCGTTTTCTTTCATGCTTTTACTTATGTGCTATGAAAGGGGAGACAACGGGAAAATATTTGAAATAAAATACTAATAAGAAAGAAATTGAGTGGGTGGCTACTATGAGTTTGTTTTAACGACCTGGAAATTATGAAAGGATTAGGGACCTTGGACGTAAGATTTCAGTATCAAAGACTCCTTGAGGGACACTGTGAACACAAAATATACATTCGAATTAAATTATGTACGATAAGTTTCCCCTGCACCCAAAAAAAAATAAAAAAATAACCTAAGCACCCAACAGACACAAATGAACAAAGCAATAAACCACAACTTTAGTGGGAAAAGTTATTGCTTGTTACAAATCAGATCATAGTAGAACGAGAAAGAAAAAAGAAACGAGAAAGGCAACCCAGGAAACAGGAAAACCAACGAAAATATGAAAAATGACGACGTCACTAAGATGAGATACAATGATGGTAGTACCTATATGCTAGATGGGAGAATAAGGTCGAATATCAAAGTTGGGTTAATTTGCGAAAAATTAAATTTGAGACGAGAGAGATCCGGAAATTTGGAAGTAGAAGAATATGGTGAGAGAAGAAGAATAGATTCTCTCTAGAAGGAGGAAACTGGGAATAAGGAAGTAAGGCCTTTCTTTTGCCTCTCTTGCTTTTTTGTATTGCAGCATCTTTAAAGAAGTCCAACAACGCCCGTAACGAACCATGTGAAAGAGAGAACTGTGACTGCGGACATGCCAACAATGAACTTAAGAGCTTGTCGTTCCATATCTGAGACAGCACTGTTGCAACCGGGACAGACGAAATCTGAAGGGAAAACAGTTAGAATTGCCAATGCATACTACTGCTAGAAAACGGGCTTGGTCGAACAGGGCCCGGGGAGCTTAGGGGGCAAAAGCCATAAATAAAAATACCTTGACGTGGAGTATATGGTTGAGGGTAATACATTCCAAAGACAAACTGGTTTTGGGAACCCAATTCACCTGGCCCAGGGATAGTAGAGGGATCTTTAGAATTGTCATACACCATGAGCGTGTAGTCTTCCGTGAGTAACGGCACGTCGCTTGTTCTGTAGGCACCCGTATCCCACTCGATCTCTACGGTTGGTGCAACGGTCATGTTCCCAGAAATGGTGTATGAATGGTCGTTTTTGCTACAGTATGCGACCGCATCGACGGCGGTCGGGGAGACGAGGAGGGATGTGTAGTTCCATTTGAATGTTGCTGTCGTCCCGATTTTGATGTAGGTTGGTCCATCGGTTATGGCTGGTTCGATAAGCTTTATACCGCCTGCGGGGGCATCAAAGGGGACACTTGTGGGCCTCGGATTTGTCGTTCTGGTACCCGTATCTTTTGTTCCAGCAGTTGTATCGGTATTTCCGTCGGTATTTCTTCCGGTTTCTTCCGAGTCCCCGGTCTCCGTCGGGGCTTCAGTGATTGTGGGATCCTCTGTCCTCGAAGGTCCATCCGCCGTAGTGTCTTCTGTGAGGTATTAGCCGAGTGTGAGACATAAAAAAAGACCTCTCCTTTTATTTTCAAGAAAATAGAAATAAAAAGCTCACCTCTATTTTGCCGTCTTGCAAGCGCGATTGGCTGTGCTAAATGAACCTTGCCATCCCCCAACGAGGCTTTCACAAACGACACCAGCAGGAGTAGCGAACAAAGAATGAAAATGTGGCTGGTGGGCCGCATATTGACTCGACTACCCTCGGTCCCTCTCTAGAGCACTGAAGGCCAACAAGTGCAAGACCCAACAAGAAAAAGAGAGGGTAAAAAAAGGTTGGCACAGTCGGGCTTTCAACACCCAAGATTTTATATCCCAAGCAATAAACCAAAAAAAAAGGGGGCGGGAATGCAACGTCTTTCTTGTACAGCACGATATTCTCCCAAGTAGATGATGACCGAGTAATTTCGCCTTTTTCAAGTCATAGCAAATAGACTTTTGAGTCAGATGGTAGGTTGGTAGCGAATGGGCTGGCTGGCGTCCGGCTTAAAAGCGAACGTCCGTGTGTTGTCGACGGTACGGACAAAGATTCGACTGCCACGGACGAACAGGGCTGATAGGTATGGTAATAATGAATTATTCTAAACGTTCTAATAGAGAGAACTAGAAAGAGCAACAAAAACGAAAGTTTGGCGAAACAATGCTGCGTTATTAACGATATAGCGATGCTGAGCGGGATGTGATGGTTTGATATCCAATAACCAGAGAAAGCAAAGCGCGAACCGCCGCGGTTAGCGAGAGACGATGATATCGAATAGCGAGAGGACAGGAGATAGCGAGGAGGGCAGGGTAAAAGGGGTAAGAGGGGTAAGAGGAGGAGGTAGAAGAGGAAGAGGAGGAGGTGGAAGAGGAAGAGGAGGAGGGGCAAAAAAGATGAAGACGACAACTTGAAGTTTGACGACGATGATGAGATGTTTGTCGTGGACGATGGCCGAAAAAGGGAAAATGTCTGAGACCCGCCCCATCCACGTGACAGTTCGGCGAAACAGCCCGCTAAATGGGGCTAGACCGAGCCTATTTTTAGCATCAGCCTCTGGCCCGATTGTTGTCAGCCGCAGGTGGAGTAAGGATTAGAAATATGTCAGGTTCTATTATTATTTGTGCCGTACCCCCTCCGTACACAGCTGTCAACTGCATTTCTTTGTTTTGAGGCTCATTCCATGGTTTGCGTGGCAGTCAGTCCCTTGGTTTCTCCATACTCAAAAGGTTGCACAAGAAGACAGATATCTACCAAGGAACCAATTCGATCACACATGGATGGAGCTACCTGTTCCCAAAAACAGATTACATACGATTTTTATTATAGTTATCATTATCATCTTGTCTTATGCCAAAACATGAACAGATCGTTCCAAACAGCCAGAATTAAGGGTGGGTATATAAAAGCCGTCAATGATGATTTTCACCCCGCATACTCCGGCCGAAGTACCCACTTCCCCCTTGCCCTTCCCCCAGTCTTCTCCAACACAGCAATAGTCCGCAACATCTCCTTAAATTCCATCGTGGCGCGCGGCGTGTCACAGAAACGATTAAAATGATCAATGAGGTTCTGCGTGTGCACAGACCCGCCATGCGCCATGATATAATCACGGATCAGCTTCAGAAAATCTTTGCCGCGCGGCTTGTCGCTGCGGCTAATACTGTCGGTAAGCCCTCCTGGGGTACCAGAGCGGGGCGTATTAGTGCCCGATGCATTGCTGCTACTACTACCGCCGACGCCACCTCGGCCGCTCCCACCACTTCCCACTGTACGGTTTGTGAGATTGGCAAGGAGGCTGGTGGAGGATGGGCCGCCTGTGACTCTGCGTATGGTGCTGCCACCACCGGATGAGAGTGGAGACGAAATGGTCCCACGTGGCTGCATGGTGCTTTCAGGCCTACCTGCAACACCGAACTGACCAGTCCAGGTGGGTGTGCCAACCGGGATGGATTTGGCAAGTTCGCCTGCCTTGAGAAGCTCCCTGGCCGCTTCAGCTGCTACCTTCTTAGCCTCGGCCTCGATTATTTTGGGGTCTGCTTTTATAATGCGTTTTCCATTGATGATTTGCTCATGCTCGAGCGCGGAGTACACGCCAGATCGGGCAAATATGCCTTCCATCAACCGCGCCTCCGAGTTCGGAGCTGTTTTATCCTCCGTTTTAGAAGCACTTGGAGTTTCCGGGGGACCTTGGAAGCGCTCCAGAGAAGACACGCCTGTGACGCGGCTGATCTTTTCTTGTTCTTCACGGTCTGCACCCTTGGCAGCTTCTCCGGCTGTTGGATTTTGCGATATTCTAGCGCTTGCGGTTTGGGCACCCTTGGGTTCTTGAAACGTAACTTCTGCGTCTTTAAATAGCCCACTCGTTTCAGTCGGCCCATCGTTCCCAAGGGTAAACAAATCATGCAAATCGCTCATCTGGAACGTCTGCCGCTGTTTCGGGTCCTTCAGAATCTTATTGGTCAAAAATTGCTTGAAGATTTGGCGATGGTAAATTTTCTCCTCAATGGTCCCTGCTGTCATAAGTCTATATATCGTAACCTCGCGTTTTTGGCCTAACCTCCAAGATCTCTCGCGGGCTTGAACATCTGTCGAAGGATTCCAATCCGGGTCGTAAATGATGACCCGATCTGCACCAGTCAAATTCACTCCGAGACCACCAACTTTGGTGGTTAGTAGGAAAACATGTATATCTGGATTGTTGTTAAACTCATCAACCATGCTTTGTCGAAGTTTAATCGGTGTGTTTCCATCCATCCTCTGGTATTTGAACCCAGACAGCGATTTTATGAACCGTTCAAGGATATCCAACATGATTCGATGCTGAGCGAAAAGGAGAGTTTTGTGACCTGTATCCCTCCACAGTTCCAACAGCGACTTGACGATTTGCATTTTTCCAGACTTGGATGCACTGCCGTAGTTATAACTTGATTTTTTAGACAACGTTTTGTGTTCTGGGAGGTCGGGGTGATTGCAAATCTTGCGGAGCATGTCAATGCCATACAGCGCCTCTCTCCGACCTCTGAGTATCGATGACATCTCATTAGATCCCAAAAAAGCTTCGTACGCTGATCTTTGTATTTTCGTCAATTTACAGAAAAGCACCTGTTCACTTTTCTTAGGAAGGTCGGCAGCCACGTCAATTTTAAACCGCTGAAGTAGGTAAGGGCTGATGGCATCTTTGAGCGTTTCTGCACATTTTGCCGCAGTTTGCACCTGCAGATTTGATGCATTTGCATATCCACCTTGACGAATTGGGAATTCGAACTGGTTTCGGAAATTGACCAGCGTCCCCAATCTCATAGGAAAGACGAAGTCAAACAGGGACCAAAGCTCAGTTAGGCTATTCTGCATAGGCGTTCCGGACAGAATGAGACGATGCGCAGTGCGCAATTCCTTGCAGTGGATCGTAATCGCGGTATCCGGATTCCGAATCTTGTGCCCTTCGTCAAGAATAGCGCAGCCCCAGTCAACTGGGATTAGCAAGGAACAGTACGTCTGGAGGCCGGAGTAAGTAGTCACGAGTACATGGCCCTCCTCCAAGACACGTTTTAAAATCCGTTTCGCAGCCTTCTGTTCTTTGGTGAGTCCGCGTGGCTGGTCTGGCTCCCATAGTTGGGATTCTAGTCGTGCATCCGCATAGCTCTCCCTTCGTAGATTTACCATACCACTCCCTGAAGTGTGTAAAATTGATACCCGAAACGGGGCCCACCACCGATGGAATTCGTTTACCCACTGCTTCATCACGGTTGGGGGACAAACCACAATGACAGGCTTGGTCAAGATCCTGCTATGGTGAAGCCCAGCCAGGAAAGCAATGACTTGGATTGTTTTACCAAGTCCCATTTCATCACCGATTATTCCCCCTACTTTCTGTTGGTAGAGCTCCCAAAGCCATTGGACTCCTGTTTTCTGGTAATCAAAAAGGTATGGATATATGTCTCCAGGGACGCAATAACCACCATCCAATATTTTGTCAGGAACTTTTGGATGCGGTAAAACCCATTCCTCCTCGTCTTCCGCGAAAGGACTATGTCTTTCACCAGCTCCACGTATAGCATCAGCCGCATCTGCCGTTTGAGGATCACCCTCATTCTGGGCTCGTTTCCGCGCTGCTGACCTCCTATGTACCCAATCTTCCAGTCTAGCTCGATATACCCTCTCATCACCGTCGTCCACCCCTTCGAAACTTTCCACAACCTTCTCGACGCTCTTCTTTCCCACTATTTTTGGCCGCCTCTTTCGTGATTTCCCCTCAGATGAAATAGAAGCCAAATCCAACTCGTCCGACGAGCCTTCTTCTCCAGACGCGACGAATATTGCAGAGTCCACATACTCCGCATCAGACGTCGGGGTTGATAATCTAGATGAAAATGGATGAGATGCGCCTGCACCCTTGTCTCCTTTCTCGGGCCCTGGCACTGGATGGGGCCCTGTCTTCCGACGCTTTTGTGGCCGCGAAAGCAAGAGATCAGCGGATTCTCTCTCTGCGCTCGACTCATCGTAATCAAATCCTGGACGTAGAAGGTGGCGATGGGACTGTTCAAGATGTGACGAAGATTCCCGCAATGCTAATTCCTGCTCTCGCTCATCCTCCGCGTCGATCAACGCTTCCCTTAGTGTTGCAGTACTGGACCCATCAGCCCCTCCTCCAATCTTCGAGAAGGGTGTAATTTTTCCAGTCCGTATCAGATAATCTCTTCGAGACTCATTTGGCAGTCTTCCGGACTCAGACACCTGGTCTGCCTCCTCAAGTCCTTGGTGCCTCTCATCGATGCGTTGCTGGATCTGCTCAACATCAACGTCGAGGGATGATATCCGCGATTCTAGGTTCTCTATTTCTGTAGTTATGCAAACACGTGCAGCGGTGCCTACAGGTTGGGAGAGTCGCTGGTGTAATCTTAAGATCTGCGATTCTAGTTTCCTATAGCAAGGATCCCTATAGTTAGTCGCAATTTTTTCAAGTTGCGAAAGGTGGGTTTACGTACGATTTCTCTACCCTTGTACGTTCCAGTCGTTTGTGGTCTCTTTCATCTGCTTGCTCTACAAGAACCCTGTCCGCCTGGTTGTGGTTGTCCAAAAGTAAGAATAATTCTCCCATTTGATATGCCCATCACCAAGAAACAGAGCAAGTTAAATTATAGAACGCACCTGGCGGCCAATATCCCTTTCCAGATCATCTTGATCTCGAACGTCCGCATGTAGCTCCCGTAACCGCCCTAATTCCGCATCTGACACCGAAGTTGATGGTGAGCTTTCGGGCATGGGTTGTTTAACATGGTGCACATCTTTCTCGCCAGTCGGAGCTTCTTCCGCCACTTGTGCCGTGCCCGGCGTGGCTGCATTCTGGCTTTCGTCCATCTTATAATCCAAGGGTATTGATGCTTCCAGAGGCGGAGCTTTAAGTGAGCGGATTAAAAGCTGAACAAGCCTCGTTGGAAAAAGCGAGGGCACCTATGTAAAAACCACTTCTAGTTCATCCATGTGTTCTAGCCAACCATTTGCTCAGCAACGTCGGTGATAGCTCATGGGAGCGGGCAAGGCGTTTACGATAATTGTTTCCTTGAAAAGGAATGAAAAGCGAACGGATCAGAGACCGCAGACTTGTTCTCAGTTCTTGATCTCGCTGCCTGGGTTGAAGGTGTATAGCTTCAAGTGTTTGTCAATGGTATGAACCTACCATAATCACGTGCCACCTAACCTATTTAGTGTAACATAATCAACCACTTAACTATAAGGATCTTAGGGCATAGGGCATGGTCAGGTGACCCACACAAGCCTCGCCATCTCATATCCACCTGCTCACCTCTAGCTTAGATAGCTTCTTCTTCTTCTTCTTCAAGATTCAGTTTCAATATAATCTAGTCTACTGCTGCTATTCACTCTGATAAAGTTAATCTTTATTCTGTAATATTACTGAATCTTCTCATCTCACTATCAGTTATAGATCTGCAGTATTTTTTTTTTCTACATCTTCATATGCAGTGTTCTGCAGTAAAAAATGATACTCAGTCAAATTACACAAATTTAAACTCTTACAGATTAAGTCAATGAACTAATCACTCAGAACTGTTAAATAACTGATGTCAATGTATAACTCATCTAATGTTTGAAAACACTGAAAGTTATTATTTATATAAAAGATATGCTCTTAGCTCTGATTCATTATTAACTCATGATTACTATCACTAAGATAAAATTGTGTAAATCAGATATCTTTGATAAGACTAGTAATATTCATTTCTGACTACTGAATATAAATAATAATATTTATAAACATTTCATTATTAATGAAGTCTTCAAAATCTCTTTCAGTATCAGCTATCTTAGCTCTAAGATTCATTAATATATTCAGTGAATGTAAATGAAATATAATATATATATTATTATCTGAGATATTCTGAAGATATAACTCTGTGATAATTATCAGAAGATTAACACAGCTCTTACTACAGAGTTATAAATGAACTTTCTTTATATACAATACAATCAATGTACTGTAAACTTCATTACTAACTTTGAGATTATTATAGCAGACTTAAAATGAAATAATTCTGCACTATATATTATATTTTATACTAAGTTGATAACACTAATTCTTCATTAGATTAATCAAGCCTACTTTAATACTTAATCAGCATTTTTCACTGAATGAAAGAAGGCTGTTATAATAATGAAAAGTTATATTTTTATATTATATTAACTCATCTCACAGAACTGTTAAGTTAAATTCAATTTTATATGAGATAATATAATCTCTAACACTACTATTAACAGAGATTGTTTCAGATCATCACATAATAGTAATAAGAATTCAGACATCATAGATAATAAATACTGAAAATATTAATATAAAGATATCTGCATCTGATATAAATAAATGAGACACTGAACAGCAGAATACTGCACTCATCTAATATCAGTCTCTATACACTTATCTGTAGAGACTTATAACTGCTAGAATATCTCTATATCTGTGATTATTAATAATCACTCACACACAGTCTTCTCAGATTATACTGTCACACACTCTTCATTCTTCTCTTCAAAATCAAAAAATGAATCAGCACATTGCTAGAGATAATTATATGTATAAACAAGTCTCAAGTCAATCTCTTCACTCAGCAGATTGATAAATACATCTTATTCATGAAGATCATTTACTATGATATATTAATTCTCAATACTGTCTCAGCTCTTAATAACATGATACATCTTATACATTACATCTTCAACACTCTTTTTAATATAAAATACCTCAGCTGTATCACTCTCTCAGCCTTAGTTGACTCTGATACAGAGTTAAATATCATAATCTCAAAAATGATAGAAGTATTAAATGCTGTTAAAATATCAGTAGCAGAGATCTCTCTGAAGAATCTACAGTACTACTTATATTAAACAGCTCTCTTTGTCTACAAACTTACTCTGCTGAACTCTGACAGACAGCTGATTACATACTACTTCTACTCTATGTCAATGATCTTATCTCTTATTCTAGGCATGCTCTGACTATATAACATGAACTCTGATATTCATTGAGACACAGGTCAGATATTCAACAGGTTTCAGATATACTAACAAGATATAGAAGATATTCTGTCATGAGAATCTCTCAGAGAGAAAATGATTCTCATCATAGTCTAGTTACAATTCTCTGAATTAATACAATCAGTATCAGACACTCTGTCATCTTAATTAGAGGATTTTCAGAATGTTTTTCATCTACTTACAGCAAACTCTCTTCCCTCACATTCAGATACAGACATGAAGATAATATTGATGAATAATAAGACTCTTAAGAAGAGTTCACTATATAATATAAGTGAGAAGAAACTACAGCTTCTGAAGAAGTATATTAATGAGAATTTGAAATGAGAATTCATTCAGTCTAGTAAAAGCTCTCATGCATTCTCAGTATTATTCACTCTTAAGAAGAATAGCTCTAAAAGATTTTATATTGACTACAGAAATCTAAATACAATCACAGTTAAAAATCAATATATAATATCTCTAATTTCAGAGCTTCTGAAAAGATTTAACAGAATTCAATGAGCTATAAAGTTAGACCTGATTCATATCTTTTATCTGCTATGAATTACAGAGAGTTACAAACATCTCACAGCTTTTAAAACATATTATAAAAATTATGAATATCTGGTTATTCTCTTCAGTCTCTGCAACTCTTTCAGCCACTTTCAACAGTATATTCAGACAGCTCTCCTCTCATATATAGATAAATTTGCCATGGTCTACATAGATAATGTTATTATATATATAAAAGATAACAGTTCAGAGACTCACTGACAACATGTCTGAAAGATACTTTAGAAATTCAGACAGACCTGGCTGATATATAATCTCTTCAAATACTGCTTTCTACAGAAAGAAATTGACTTTGTGAGCTATATAATCAGCTATCACAGCACAAGAATGAACTCAAAGTGTGTAGAAGCTATAGTATTATAGCTCACTCTCAGATCTATTTAAGATATCTGTGAATTTCTGAGATTCTGTAACTTTTATTACTGCTTTATACACTGTTATAGCAAAGTTACTCTATCAATGATAAATCTACTGAAAGTTAACAAGATCTTTCTATGAATAGACACTGAAGGCTTCAGTTTTCAGCTACTGAAAGATGAATTTATCAAGATCTCTCTTCTCATCTTCTACTCTAATGAATTAGAAATCATAATCTTCTGTGATATCAGTGACTATGTCATAAGTGAAATTCTCATACAGAAAGAAGCAGATAAATATCTACACTCAGTCACATTCTACAGCAGAAAAATGACAAATGCAGAATACAATTACAGCATATATAACTAGAAAATACTGACTATTATAGAGTCAATCAGACATTGAAGTCACTTTATATAAAGTAATTATTATAAAACAGTTATTTACAGTAATCATAATAATCTTCTTCTCTTTCTAACAATCAAAGTACTCAGCTGTTGTCAGACTTACTAAGCACAGTATCTGAGTGAGTTAGACATTGTCATTAAGTATAAGAAAGGTCATAAAAACCCAGCAGATATCTCTAGTCAGTACTCAGACTACAGATTAAAATCAGAGAAGCTGACAGAGCTTAATAACAATTTTCATCACTTTCTGAACAGATTATAAGATCATCTTCATCAAGTCAGAATAGCTGCTATATCAATAGCTACAGACATTCAGAATAACCTCACTTTTAGCTCACTTCTAGACATTATATATTAATATCTTTCAGAGAATCTTGAATCTCTTATCTCTCTTATCAATTACAATTATCTAGAGAATTGAGCTATTGAGAATGAACTGCTCTTCTATCAGAATTATATTATAGTCTCTGAATACTTTCTCACAAAGCAACTTCTTCTAGAACACTTTCATAATACTCTCATCATCAGTCACTCTAATTTCTATTGAATATACAGTCTAATTCAATGTTAGTTCTATTAATCTCACATGTATCAAGAAATCAATGAATATTACAAGAAATATGAGACATGCAAGTATACAAAACCTATATCACACTGCATATACAGCAAGCTAACATCAGTTCTCATTTCAAATATCAACTGATATATAGTTATACTTGACTTCATCATAGATCTTTCTAAATCACTCTGTATAGTAATAGAAGTTATCTTTGATATTATTCTAGTTATTATCTGCAAACAGTCAAAGAGGCTACACTACATATCTACAGTTATCAATATTACTCTAGAGATACTTACTTATCTTTTTATCAATAATATAGTTCATCTACATAACATGTCTGCTATTCTCATCTCAGACAGAGATCATCTATTTATCTCAGAATTTTGACAAACTCTCTCACAAACTCTGAGCACAGATCACAGACTTTCAACAGTATATTATTCACAGACTGATAAATAAATAGAAAGATAGAATTGAGAGTTAGAAATCTATATTTATCTTTATATAGACTATCTTCAAACTAACTGAGTGAATCTCCTAGCTCTTGCAGAGTTTGTATACAGTAATTCAGTTTATTCAGCACTAGATATTACATTCTTTTTCATGAATCTAGAACATCATTCATCACTGCTGATTATATCTGATTTCTCAGTCTCAGAACTGAATCACTCAGGTGCTGAATATCATATGATACTAATCAGAGAAGCTCAAGAAGAGGCTTACTCTTATTTACTATATACTTAAGATCTCATGACTCACTATGTCTGTGACAATTCTCAAGAATTTAAAGAAGAAGATCTAGTCTTTCTCAATGATAAAAATATAAAAATAAGATATCTTAATAAGAAGTTGAATCATAAGTTTCTAGAACTCTTCACAGTATAAAAATGCATTGACACTCAAGTCTACAAGCTATTACTATTCTTATTATACTGTATATATGATGTTTTCCATGTCTCTCTTCTAGAATCTCACAGAGTCACAGAAATCAATAACAATCATATACTTTCAGAGATTATTCACTCAGAGATAGACAATATAAATGAAGACTATGATATTAATGAGATTCTAGATGTGAAACTTATAAGAGAAAACAAAGTCAAGTTTCTCATATATTGACTTGAAAAAGAATCTCAGTTTAATGAGTGAATGAACTCTGTCTATCTTATCAATACTCAATTATATATAGAGGTCTT